TCTTGTTCCTCTGGTTTAGCTCGCTGTAACGCAAGCATACTTCTACATCCTGCAAACCACAGACTGTATGCTGGAGGAAGTACAGTGGGAACTATACTTCTGGCCGCTCTGCATTAAGTGTTGCAGGTCTCCAAGACCCCAGAGCTACAGCAGTGTCTCTACTTCCCTCTCCTGCAGGCCAGTCACAAAGCTTCTAGGCTGCTTCGGATATTCGTGCGTCAGGTTTCCTAGACTGGTTTACAGGCCTGTTTTCCTCACCTAATCACCAGGTTTATCACCAAAACGGAGTCATAGGTTTTGTGAATGGCCTGGAGTAGAGGAGTGTAGATGTGGTTGCAGCACCGCAACACCTACATCCAGAGTGGCCAAAAGTATAGTTCCTGCTCTACATCCTTTCATATGTAAACTAACATTTGCCGAGGATAGAAGTACGCCTGCATGGCAGTAATGTCATCCCAATGAACAAGTATGTTTTCCTGCTGGAATTGTGCCTGGAGTTCCTCATTTAAATATATTCTACAATAACCACAAAATACATATCCACAACTTTGTGAGCACCAATGACTTTGTACATCCGGTTATACCTTGTAAAAGTAGTGATTACATCACTGTGCAGAGAGCAGAGCTGTGGGGGCCAAGCAAGCGCACCCACAGCAGAAAACTACAGGAGGGGGCGGAGACAAGACCAGTCACCCTGCACAAGGAGAGACAGCAGCAGTGGCTGGTCTTAACACCGGAAGCTCTGGAATAAAGGCAACATTCATACTGAATTACTGCACAAATCTCAAAAAAAAAAAAAAACACAAAGCACACAGACATGCCTCTTATATTTAGACAATATTTGTGGATCCCAGTTTCCTTTTAAAAAAATTCCTGAAAAGTTCAAAGAAAACTAGTGAACATATAAGAGGAACATGCTGCCTCTCTAAAATCCAAAGAGGAACAAATGATAATTTGAGGTAGTGATGTACGGTTTCACTTCCCTAAACAAAAATAAATTATACGTATACATCAGATGTCTTTAGAGTGTTTAGGCAATACAGCCAACGCACCTATGGCGGGAACTGAAATGACCGATGTTGGCACACTGACAAATTTGATGCCAATTTTATTAATGTGTCTGATAGGAAAATTACTGGTCTGCAACAGGCAATGACCATGCAAAAAGTGATAAAGAAAAAAAAAAAAGTAGTAACTGAAGATAACCAGATTTCAAGTTAAACCGTCAGATTTCTGCTTGGTTGCGTTGCTAACCCGTATAAAGGATTACCCAAGGATAGTGACTCTTCCTGTTCAGCAAGTTGATGGGCATGGGCACAAAAAACACAGGAGTTCCGTTTAGACTGGAGGTTTTTTTTTTTCTAAAACTCAGAATTGAATACAAAGAACATTTCAAGGAGAGAAGTCTTCCAAATCAGGCACAGCTGGCAACTGTTAGGTTGCCAGTTATTGTGAACTTAGAGGGACCATAAATACACGGCTCAAAAAAGTTAAAAGGAACACTTTGAAAACACATCAGATCTCAATGGGGAAAATATCATGCTGGATATGTATACTGATATGGACTGGGTAATGTGTTAGGAACGTAAGGATTCTTTATTGTTTGATGGAAATGAAAGTTATCAACCTACAGTGGACTGAATTCAAAGACACCCCGAAAATCAAAGTGAAAAAATTGGGGTATTTCCTAGTAACTTGTCTGCCACATTATCTCAGCAGCTCTCTTGAACTGCAGGGGGGTAATACATTTTGCATATTGTGCAGTGTGAAAAATCTGAAGCTTCAGTGGTACACTGTTGCCATATTAAGCTATACAACCATCCAAATCTCATTTCTTTTTCAGGCTTCCATCTTTAATGCAGAATTATGGACATACCATTGAAAATATTATAAGTGCACCTGCAGAGTCCCACAAATATCTGACAGTGAAGTTCACCTAATGTAGCTTTCTGTAGTGGTGTGGCAACATCGCTGGAAGGTTCTTGAATTCAGGGCAGAGTGATGCCCTTATGTTGGCTGGCTTATCATGGGGGCATGGCTATTAGCATGGTCACTGCTGGCGGATATCACTTAAACATCAAACTATCCACCTTTGTCAATGGTCAAAAGTGCAAGAATCTTCTTCTAAACAACACAACTGTCCACTGTTTGAACTTCTGAAGATGGTGTCCACTAAAGATGAAAAAAAACAAATTCAGCAATTTGAGCACCTCTTGGGATACTCCAGTCATATCCATCAGGAGAATCATGCACCTTCTAGTACATAAAAGTGTTATTACATGGATTTTCAAACCTTTTGAAACCTCCAGCAAGTAGGCTCAATCTTTCTGTACTAAGTGCGCTATTACTGGGAAAGAATTGGGGTGGTGCCCTGACAACCCACTTAAGGACAAGGTCTCCCCTTGTCATTCTCAGGAATACATCTACTGATATATTGACACCCAAACATTTTAAAGACTGGGACTTTGCGGGCCTATTAGTGCATGTGCTATAACATTTGCCTATAACACGAGACCACATACACATGCTTTGGTGATATTGCTGGGTACAAACAACCTCACCAAGTAACTGATGAATGGGCAAATAAAAAAAACTTGCTCATCCACAGTAACAAACAATACCCTAAAGGTCTAAGACAGGTTGTCAAAACATATCAGAATAGACAACATTAAACAAAGTCAACAACGCCAAGTTACATAAAAAAAAAAATGTAGAAACAGTCAAGTGCAGACAAGTCTAAGCTCTTTCAATATGCAGACACGAGTGTAGTGAGTGAACTTCCCCCTCCAGCAGATGGGACAAAATAAAGGATCTTGTGTGATTTGGGTGGGTTATGAGAGGTCGGGCGAGGCACACAGCGTGAGAAAGGGACTTTCCTACAAATCTCTATTTTAAGCATGCATCTCACTGTACATGCAGCTGGCAGAAGAGGACTGCACTTATCTTCCATCTTGTGAACATGTCATTCTGAAAGGCCATGAAGATGTATATTGTTATACCTGGGGCCTGTTCCAGACAGGTGATATAAATTCATGATCATAGGCAATATAGCCTAGAAAAAAAGCGGAGAATGAATACTTGTAAAAAAAAAAACCTAATATTGCATCTCTTCTGAAAACAAAAACATCAAGGTGCCCAAATGGCTGCTAACATCAGATTCCTGCAATTTTGACAAGCTGTGATGACAATCAGAATGAATGAGGTGTATATGCCAGGGCACCCCTAAGAATGAAAAGGCCTTTGGTTGGATGGAAATGTTTAATTGACCTCTTGAATTCCTCCAATATATTCAAATGTTAACAAAAGGCTAATATTCTTCGGTGCAGAGTAACAGTAGTACTGAAATACATTACCTGGAGAAAATGCTGTTCTTCAGCCTCCTTCCAGTGCAGTACATTCCTGAAGGCAAAGATGCTTGATCATATGATCTCAAACTAAAAGGAAAATTGGCCAGTTTGGTAACCCCTCCCATGTAACAGACAAAGGGCCAAGTGCCCTACCTTTGGCAGCACTGATGATGTTGAAAATGGCATTTTCTCCAGGAAAGGTAAGTAAGCCCTACTGTTACTCTACTTACCCATTCCAACATCACTATTAGTGTTAAAACGCTAGTAGGATGCAAGCATCAGTGTGAAGTATATTTGAGGACCAAAAAAATAATGGATATTGGATAGTTTCCTGAACGCTAGCTTCTAATACACATGCCCTGTAATACAGAGAACAAAGGTCTACAGAGAGATCAAGTAACAAAAATACTTTGTTCTCCTGACCCAGATCAAAAACCGTAAAGAAAAGAGAATACACTGAAGTCCAACTTACATTTCAAACTTCTTCCCTTAGCCTGATCTGATTTTAGTTGGCTTCCACAATACCTTGGCCTTTGCTACGACACTTTAATGCATCTCATGTAATGAAACAATGGTTAATTTTTTTTTAGTCATTCCTGGATAATAATTCTAGACAAAGCCGTCTTCTGTGTTCGTACATACCTCGCTATCATTTCCTGAGTACTGACTCCTAAGTGTTATGAATGGCAAAATTTCCCATCTTCCCACCACTCCTTAACTTGAGATAAATTGGACAAAAGGAAAGAAAAAACACTCAAAAGCAAAAGCACAATGCAGTCATATCTTCCATTGCACGTCATTTCCAGGCAGGACGCACATATTGCTCGATATGATAACGGGAAATATTTTGATGTACACATCAATAATAATTAACAGCTCACTAACCATGCATAATTCTGACAGCTCTTTTGGTGAAGAGAAAATATATAATGCAGATAACTTTCAATGTTTGTTAGAATAAAGAAAGGATTAGTTTCCCTATCAGGTTTTTACTAATTGGGGCTCCTGTAGAGAGAGACTTACCCTAATATCCCAATATACCCTAATAGGATGCCTGCTGCTAATGTTTTACCAAATAGAAAGTGACAACACAGACAGAAATAAACATTTTTCTTTGGAAGAGTAGGGAATGGTTAGAACCCATCAGAATTTTTTCTTCTGTGCCTCCGTTGCAGGTTTTTCCTTACTTCCTGAGTGATGAAACAATTTTCAGGGCAAATCTCTCTGAATGAGGCCTAGGGAGCAATAAAAACCTGACAAGAGTTCTAATATTTCCCTACTTGATCCCAAACTAGAACAAATGTTTTCTGGCTTGACAGACTTTAAAGGAGAACGTCTAACCAAATTTTTACTAATTATTTTTTAATTTGTACTTATGAGCAAAGGAACCTATGCAAAAAGTCAATTATCAGTTTCCAGGAAGGTGTACTAAATACATGCAGGCAGTAACTATTCACAATGTAGGGTGTTGACGGCTTAAATGTAAATCCATAAAAATCTGGCACTGAGAAGCTCTTCGAGCTTTTGTATGTTAAACTCTTTGGGCAGGACAAAACTGGAAACAAATATAGAATTCATATACAATTTCATAACATTTTATAGCAAAAGACTGATTTTTGTATGATATAATGGTTTTGCCTACAGTTCTATTTTTCATGTTCTTGAAAACGCATGAATGGGAGAATCTGGTTGCAATGGGCAACATACCAATAAGTGTACAATGACAGATACAGGTTTCTCACATGCAGGAAATCTTACCCGTGTCATTTTAAAGAAATCTATAGATGGCCTACTCCACCGGACATCCTCATCACGTCTGCGCTTTAGCCTGGCTTTCCTCTCATTTAACACACACGGCTGGGAACGGCACCGCAGTAAGCCCTGGCGTCGCCTCAACTCTGGGGTAGATGTTGGTGTGCTGTTGGCTGAAGGCAAAATATCTCCTGGTTCTGTGATGTGCTCCTGAGACAGAGAAAGGCGTCTCCTTGGACTGAAGTCGCAAGGGCCACCAGAGTTCCAACGTATGCTGGAGGTTGTGCTTCCTTCGCTACCATCCACAAAGCCACTGCTGGCGGAAGAGGGCCTTGGGACAGGAGACGTGTTGCAGGCAGGCACTGTGAACACATTGTTGTTAAGAGACGGGGCGTTCTGCGGCAAGCTGACACTTGTGCTTCTCTGCAAGGTGGCGCTGCCATGACTATTACAGCGCTGTAAAGTGGCACTGCCACCGCTGTTGCATCGCCTCTTTGAAACAGGAGTCCAAACCTTGGAATTGCCTGGTTTCCAGGGTGAACGACAACGAGACAGTTCGTCCGGCTCAGACAGTGACCTGCAGTGTCTTTTCGTCGGGGGTGCCAGCGGCTGTCCAAAGCTGTCATTGAGATTGAGTTCCCTTATCCACCCTGATAATAAGGACTGATTGGAGGGCTCATTCTGCCACGGCAGAGAAAAGTTGGTTGGAGTGCCAGTGCTGAAGGGACACACAGAAAAGGGAAAGATCGAGTTCTTGTTCAGTTCCGTCCTGATTGGACAAGCCCTGTCAATCATTTTCCAGGGACTGTCCTCTACAAGAGAAAAAGGGGAAAAACAAAACAAAAAAAACAAAAACAAAAAAGATTAATATTAGAACAGCGACAACATTCTAAAATATGCATTCTTCTTTAAATATACGTGAAGCACACAATACCAAACACCTAGGTTCTGGCAGAGTCATATCAGAAGAGGCTGGGTTTATTTTTAGTGCTGAGAAACTGCCGTGTAGACGGATAACTCCACTCGCTTCCACTCAAATAGCACAGACTTTTACAAAGGGGAATTCTCAGGAGCATGTAAATAACACTCTGCCTTCAGCCGCGTGTACCGGTTTTAAACAATATAATTCAATTATTTTACGGCTAACGTATACTGGTATTATAACGATAGCTGGATCAATATTGTGTTTTTGCCTTCATGTTGCATTTATTGATCTGTACATAGTAGCTGAAAAATAGGTGTTGTATTATTTAGAGCTTCCTCATGTGCATTAAAGTCATTAAAACTTTAAAAGGATCCTAGTCTTGGTTTTACGGTTTTATTTTATATGTGTCTAAAGCAATGAGGCACTTTATGCCATCATCTAGCTGGATAAAACAAAGTGTTTCCTAGTTTCAATGAAAGCATGGGGTCTTAGGCATTTTCCAGGTGCTGGACTCAATCCAAGTGTATGTGTTGCTAAAAGGGGTTAAACCCCTGCTAGGTTATTTTTATTCATTTTTTTTTTTTTTGCTGTCTGTGTAACACCGTGGAAACCACGATTTACTTTCCTTCCCAGCTGCACAACAGGAAGTTAGGGGAAATTTCCCAAAATGGGGAAATTCCCCTCTTAGATAGTTGTCTACAAATCTAGTGTCCCCTAACCTCTTGTTCTGGGGATAACATTTTTGGTATCTATTCACTTTCCTTCTCAATGACAATTGTCACCCATACAAAGATGAGTGACTCTCCCCAATGGGGACATAAAGCATTAAAACAAAACGTGAAGGTCTAACCCTTGGCACTGTATCCATAAGTGAAAAAAAAGGTTCTGCCTACAGATACACAAAAACAACCAGTCATGATTGGCCGTATGCAAGAATCTGTAAATTTAGTCTATCTTCATAAATGTGGACACATACCCATGAAAGACTAATGCCTACCCCTTTTTAATCCTAATTTATGCTGCTTGAGGATGAATCTAGGTCCTAAGAACAGATGAGAGGCCACCTCAAGGCTGCCCTGCCAACATTTTTGGGAATACGAAGATGGGTCCTGTGGGTCACGACCCCTTTGGGGGTCGAACAACCCTTTCACAGGGGTCGCCTAAGACCATCGGAAAACACATATTTCCAATGTGTTGAAAGCAGCTACTTTGTTGAAAGCAGCTACTGTGTTGAAAGCAGCAGTATTGGAGGTAAAACAACACTTCATGAATTATAATTAATGGGTAAATAATTTTATGGTTGGGGGTCACCACAACATGAGGAACTGTATTAAAGGGTCGCAGCATTAGGAAGGTTGAGAACCACTGGTCTAGGCTATCAGCCCTAAAACCCAGCCCCAGAAAAACTAAAATCGATAACCTAATAAGGGGAAACATGTATTACTATAAGACTCAGAGCTGATTCACACATGTGCAGTGCAGATTGAAGCTCAGGTTTTACAGCTAATTGATAGAGTAGTTGTTTCACCGGTTCATGTCAGGTTTGCATCAGGTTCAGGACAAGATTAGCTCAGGATATTACCCTGTTCACATATATGCGGTTTGAAAACGGCTCCCATAGAAGTCAACAGCCTGTAATCCGCACCTGAACCTGAAGTCACTGCTCAGAAATCGTACATGACTTTCAAACCGCGCTGTATCTGCGCCGACAGGCACCATGGGAAGCAATTTTTTTTTTCTCATCATGTGGATTGGATGCGGTTCAAACCACATCCAATCAGTGCATATGTGAACTGCCATTTAATGTTCAAGATGTCTTGTGGGAAAAATACCCCATGCCTTTAATGACCATCAAATATGACAACATGGGAGGCAGAAGGACACGAGTATGGAATCAACCATGGAAAAATGAGGTCTTTAAAATAAAAACCAAAGAAGCAACAGGGCTTGAGGCTACATTTGAAGGCAAAGTAAACTATCAGGTTCACTTTTATAGATCACGCACAAATGTAGAAATATGGGAGCCACCAATGGTAACTTGTTAAAAGGCCAAAGGTTTGGGCCTAGCAGCATGATCCTGGCATTAAGACCTAGCGAGTCACTGACCTAGAAAGAAAACATTGCAGACTTCTGCCTGCAGACTTTTTCCAGGTGAGGGATTCACATGTTTAAACTGAGGAAAAGAAATGTATTACAAGTGAGCTCAAACAATGGAAATGTAATTTAAAACTGTACTGAAATTTTATTTTGTGAAACTTTCTTTTTCATTTCCTCTTAAATGTTTTAAAAAGCTAGACAGATATCACCTAGTCCTCAGAAGCCAAATCCTTATTCTTAAATTTGCAAACAGCTGTTCAGATTAAATTTGGCCCACACAAACCATACCTGATTTGGTTTTAATTTAAGCAAATCCAGCAATGAACGCAAGATTCAGATCTACAGCTGCATTAGCAAAAAAACAAAAAAAAAAACAAAAGAAACAAAAAATTACATCTTAAAGGACTTCCTTTTCAAACAAAGAAATTAAATTGTGAATGCAACACTTGAGGAAATTCTGAAATAAGGATTCTGATGATGAAAAAAGTCCAGCTCTATTCGAGGAAGGAGAGGGTCCAGCTTTTTGTCTGTTATAATCTGGCCCATTTAAATGTTTTAAATATCAGAAGGATGGGATGAAATATGTCCCTGTCCATCCAACCAACGGCTAGCCAACAGAGCAGGCTGCATTTAATATGCAAAGCTCCTTAGAGGCATACAATCGCTGTGAGCCACTGATTCGTACCCATTGTTCCACAAACCGTTTAAGCCAGCAGGCTCTCAACCCATATTTTCAAGCTCTGCATATGATTAGCGCCAGAAAAGGGTTCTATTTTTTTTTTCTCCCCACTGTTCGCTGAGCACCTTGCTTTTCATATAAAGAAAAAAAAATCTGCTAAGGTTTCACGAAAACTTACCATTGATTTCGTAAGGAAACAAGGTGCCACCATTGTTCAGCTTCTCAGAAGAGCGCTGAAATTAACCAAAGGAAAAAAAGTTTCAACACCATACAACAGAACATGGTGTGAAAAAATACACAAATCATACACTTTGCGAGCAGGACTAAAAAAAAAAAAAAAAAAAAAAAAAAAAAATTATGACAATCAGATGTACTGTACATAGTACTGGCCAATGCAGGGGAGGTAAATGTGGGTGAAAAATTCACTGCAGGGGTAGGCCAGATCTCTGTATTGTTTAAACGAAAAACAGAACTTCGCCATCTGTTCCGTTTTCAATACGTGAGAAATTGTGAGGTAACAGCTGTAATGTGTTAAGTAGTATTGCTAAATGGCCTTGATATAAAACATTACAGGATCATGTCTTTACTGGAAAGTGACTTACAAAAGAAAATGGTTTTATAGCAAACACAAATCTCTTTGAAATACATGAGTCTAGTGGATTTTGTTTCTGCTTTTAGATTCAATTAGAATTAGAATTGAGATACAATGGTAAATGCTGGCAATAAACACATAAAGGTCTACATATTTGTATGATGAAAGGAACCTTAGAACCAGATAAAATACAGATTTAATAAAACATATGAGCTTTGGCTGATTCATCAAGATTATTTCATAAGATGTAGCATCTAGCACAATTATAGCATAACACAATGAACCATATCACGTGGTTAGCAAAGCTGATATTTATAGTACTTCAAAATGCTGGTAATATAGCAAAAAACAAGTCCATGAAAAAATTCTGTAGCCGTTACAACTCCCAGCTTTGAAAGGCACCAATACCAAGACTATGGACATTCAAGTATTTACATATCCTTAACAAGCAGTACATTTTAAATCAAGCCCTCAATGCCTTCTTTAGCTGCTTGTTCGGTGATGTAATTCATTCTCAAAGATCATAGCCATGACTCTAAAGTTGGTTGCAGTCAATGCCAAACAGCTTAACCACCTGCTGCAAGTTTACAATAGAAGGCTGGCAGGCAGCCAAGATTTCAATAGAGAGAAAGGAAAATAGTTACCATTTCAATGCCTCCACTTTGCATTTTGAAGATGGATTTCTCCACAATCTCTAAAGCTTAAGCGCAATGAATGTTTTACAGTTCCTTTGCTTGTTTAGAATATAAAATTTAGTTTGCACACTTGTGGACAACACAAGTATCCAAAGATAATATTTTTACACTGCTCCTCACAGTGGACTTTTCCACTCAGAGTATTCCAGCCACACCCAGAATAGGTCAGCCTAGTCTACTAGCCTTTGGTGACAGCCATGTAAATAAAGCATTGGGGACATGGTCTCTAGTGAAGTGGCTCTACCTAAACTTTGTTTCTTCTCTGTGCCTGAGCCCACATAATCAATGCCGGCTGGCACCAGAGGAAAGACAAAAACTGTGACATCCAGCAAAAAATGTCTAATGTATGTAAAACTTATAAGAGGGATGATTAGAACAGCACAACCCCATGTGGAAGGTGCAGGTCCAGTTTAATTGAGTACTAGAAATGTTAAACATAATGAAAGACTTTAAAAAGTATTTACAGGGCTCTTAACATAAGCATGCAGATGAAACTAAACACTTTAAATAAAACTCCAGACAGACAGGGGTCCTTAAGGTTTTGTATGATTGTATATCTAAGCTTGTGGTTCCAGAAGAATCAGACAGCTGCATTCCAGGGCAACTATGTGAATCACTGAATACTACCATTTAACTGCAACCAAAACCAGCGTATTTCTATAAAGATATAAATATATAGACAGCCCAAACTTTTTAGTTTTACTTAGAATGGGGAAAGTGTAGGATCTACAGTATGGCAACTTTTCATGTCCTGGTCTCTGCAGGGGAGGATTTCCCCTCACTTCATGTCCCAGTATTAACCACCGACATGGTTAGACGGGACATTTTTGCAAGGTCACAGACCACAATAAGAACATCTGTCCCAAGAATAGTGGTCACCAGTTTCAATTCTTTCCCATTCCAAAACTGAAAGTTGTTTTAGTTCTAGGGTATCCACCTGGGGAGGGGGAGATATCACTCTGTGCCGTTTAGATCTCTAAATTTGGACTAATACCTGCTATCTGTACAGTAGTTTGTCTTCATCCCTCTCCTACTAAGCCTTTTGCATGTGCTAACAAAAATCCTGTCTTCCAGGATTTCTCAACCAGGGTTCCACCATGGATTCCTAGGGTACTTCCAGAGGTTGCTAGGGTTTCCTTGAGTAGTGAGCAATTTCTGCCAGTCAGATAAGTTGCCACTGACACCATTTATCTTTTTTGCCATCTGTAAGGGGGACATATCAGACTGGATGTCGCTCCACTTCTTTAAACTGAACCTCTCCAAAACCGAGTTTTTTGTCTTCCCCCCCCCCCCCCCCCCCCCCCAGCCCAGACACCACCCCCCATTGACTTCTCCATCACATCCAACAACGCCACCATCAAACCCGCCCCGCAGGCCAGAGTACTTGGTGTCATTCTGGACTCCAACCTATCCTTCCAGCCTCAAGTCCAATATTTAACAAACCCGCAACATCGCCAAAATACGCGCGTTCCTAACCCCAGAAAACACTAAACAGCTCATCCACTCCCTCATCATATCACGACTCGACTACTGCAACTCCCTCCTCACTGGCCTGCCTCGCCGCTGGCTATCCCCGCTTCAGTCGATCCAGAATACGGCTGCCAGACTCATTCACCTTTCCAACCGCTCCGTTTCCGCCACCCCCCTCTGCCAATCCCTCCACTGGCTTCCGATTGCGCAACGGATCAAATTCAAAATCCTAACACTGACGTACAAAGCTGTCCACCATACTGCCCCGAACTACATCACTGACCTAATATCCAAGTACCGCCCAGCACGCACACTCCGCTCCTCACAAGACCTCCTTCTCTCTAGTTCCCTGGTCTCCTCCTCCCATGCCTGCCTCCAGGACGTCTCCAGGGTGTCACCCATCCTCTGGAACTCCCTGCCCCAACCCATCAGATTATCACCTACTCTCCTCTCCTTTAGGCGCACCCTGAAAACCCATCTCTTCAGGGAAGCCTACCCCACCCCCTGCTAACTTGCAGACCTCCTCCACTCTTCCTACCACTCCATCCCCCACAGCTATCTCCTCCTGTACCACTATCCCCTCCCTCCTAGATTGTAAGCTCCAAAGAGCAGGGCCCTCAATCCCCTCATGTTTTGCATTGTATTGGTATTGTTCTGTCACATGTTCTGTCCCCCTTTGTAATGTACAGCGCTGAGCGAACTATTGGCACTTTATAAATACTGTATAATAATATTAATAATTCTTCCCACTGACCATCACACTAATATATCATGAGTTGTAGATATAGTAACTTTTAGCAGGGTTCCCTTATACCAGAAAGTAATTTCCAGGGTTCATGTGTGTTGGAAATGTTGGGAAAGGCTGTTCTTTCAGAAAACTGGGGAACATAACTGAAAGAGTAATCTGTCTCAAATTAACTGAGGGGGAGATGCCATTGTTTGAATTTACTGCATATTGAACAGACCAAACAGAATTTCTATGCACCAGGTAAAAGCCTACAAGGAAGGTGATGAAGACAAACTACTGTCGGGGTATCTTGCGAGATTTAAAGTCATACTAGGCCAACGGTGACTCACCCCACAGCTGCTCATCCCAAAACTAAAAACATTTTGTGCAAGCTTGCCTTCGAACATGCACTTATGTCAACAATAAGTCGTGTGGTATGTAGAATACAGCATAAGAAGTCATTGTGAAATAGCATCTAAAAAAAGACCAGTTCATAGTCACTGCATGGAACAAAATAAAGTCATAAAACATGGCTGAGTAACAAGCTTCCTCCTCCAAAGGCCTTGTGGACTGTGATTTATTTTTCACTAGGCCAAAAATGATACTATTGTTCAGACACTTCCTTTACAATGATGGCTTATTTTGGTGGAAGGTAAACATCCTTAAATGCTCTTCTCTTTCTGCACTCCCACAAGAAGAAACCAAGCGGAGGCAGACAGGTTAACCCTACATTACCCAGACTGCACCAGTGTCAACATAAACAATTTTTTGAAGCATATATGAAAAAGCAGTGCAATTCCAAGAAAGGTTGGGGGGGGGTGTAGATAACCTGACTGGCCAAAATGAAGTCCTCTAGTTGTTTGAGAACCTGAACTATGGGGGCTGTGTCCAAAAAAAAAAAAAGCATTACTGATCTACCCTTGTCCTGCATGGTGTTTCTGCAGAGGTGGTCGTTTTTTGTAGGCCAGTAGTGCTTTCCTGCCTGCTCTCAGAGCTTCCCCCCTGATGACTAGTGATCTAAAGACTGGTGGGGGAATATTCAAGATGCAGCATGAAAAGTGCAGTTAGCACAAATCCACAGAATGAATAAATAAGGAGCAGGGAGATCTTTAAAATACAGCTCCTCAGGTTCATCTTCTCCAGCAAAGAAAACCATAACCATGATCAAATCGCACTCCATGTCACATGGCACCAGTGGCCACAGGTACAGTACCCTAGATCAGGGATTGAAAAAGCCGCTCGCCAAATGCGAGGAGAAATTGCCCTGTGGCGAGCGGCGAACACAGATGAAGCATGGAGCAACTGGCACCTGGCACCAAGCCTCACTGTGAAGCAGAGTTACGGTTCACAACTTGCGGTTTCCGGCTTCTGCGGCACCACCGCTGAGGGGACGGGTGAAGGAGAGGTCTACTCTCCTCCGCTGAGAGGAGACACCCTCTCCACTGCCGTGGGGGACTCGGCGGGACTAGGAGTAAGTATTGTATACATGTCATATCACTATAATGAGTACAGGGGAGGGGGGATATACATTACTGTATACAGGTCATATCACTATAATGGAGTACAGGGGAGCTGGGATATACATTACTGTATACATGTCATATCACTATAATGGAGTACAGGGGAGGGGGGATATACATTACTGTATACATGTCATACCACTATAATGGAGTACAGGGGAGGGGGGATATACATTACTATATACATGTCATATCACTATAATGGAGTACAGGGGAGGGGGATATACAT